GTGTGTGTGTGTGTGTGTGTGTGTGTGTGTGTGTGTGTGTGTGTGTGTGTGTGTGTGTGTGTGTGTGTGTGTGTCCTGTCTAATAAAGACTCAGAAACATAAGACTGAGGACGTGTTGTTGACTGTCAAAGTAAAAGTAATTTATGCATTGACCGGAAATAAAAATTCCAAAATAGAAGTCCAGACACAGAAAGTAAGAAACAGCGCCACTTGTGAACCGTCTCCACGCATTGGTCATTTCCGGTACTGCAGCTTCACGGACTGCGCATGCGCAATGAGATGAATGGCCGCGGCACCCGACTCACCGGGAACACTGATCCTCGTTAATCCCGCTCCGGTACCAGGAGGCACCGAAAGTATCATGCTTAGCGGGCCGGAGCGCTCAGTCTGACCATCGGGACCGTCTCCACTCCGGGCTCGGTCTCCGGGGGCTGTCCGTGTCCTCCCCCCGCCTGTCGGGCTGCATACCCCGCTGCTGCTGAGCTGAAGCTCCGTGAGGCTCCGGGAGGCTCCGGGCGCGTCCACCGTGACTGCAATGGGATGCTGCGGTAGTGCGGAGGTAAGCACGGCCAGGCCCGGTCCGGTACTCCTCCCCGGTGCCCCTCAGCAGCTCACCGGTGCGTGTTAGTGTTTGAACGGGAGAGCGGCCCCGGGAGAAGAGAGGGCCGAGCTGGGATTAGAGCCAGGAGCCGTAATCCAATTAGCTCCTCCCGGGGACAGGCGGGTCACCGGGGCCTGGTACCGGAGCCGCCATGTCTGCTCCCAGTAAACAAACCCTTCAGGGCAGTTCCGAACCAAAGTAACAGGGCGGCCAGGGCCGAGGGTGTGCAGGGTGTAGACTGGCTCGGCCCGGTCCTTCAGGGCCCGGCTCAGCGCTCAGTGTGACCGTGTTTGTGTGTGTTTCAGCGGACAAAGAGAGAGTGGAAACCGCTGGAGGACCGGAGCTGCACCGACCTGCCCTGGTTCCTCCTCTTCACCGTCTTCTGCGTCGGCATGGTAACCTCCAACAGCCCGCCATCTTTACTTCTGACGATACTGTGGTAGCAGTGAGATAGTACTGTCATAATACTACCTCATTACTGTGATAATACTGTAATTACAAGATCACAGTACTGATAACACTGTGGTAGTACTCTGGCAGTACTGTCATGGTAAACTTTTCCAGTCTTGATGACACTCAAAGTGCGTTAGAGTACAGTACTTTACAGTATTACTGCCATTCACAAACACATTCATACAGTGCAGCTATGACACTACTGCCACAGTACTACCACAGTATTATCAGTACTTTGATCTTGTAATTACAGTATAATCACAGTACTATCTCAGTATTATCAGAGTACTACCACAGTGTTATGTTGTACTCATTCATACTCACACACTATACACACACACATTCATACAGTGCATCAATGGGCCACACTTTTTTCAATCAGGGGCCATTCAAGGTCCAGCATCTTGCCCAAGGACACTTCGGCATGCAGTTTAAGAAGACTGGGATCGAACCGCTGACCTTCTGGTTGGAGGATGACCGCTCTACCGCTAGGGTGGCTGTGGCTGAGCTGTCATAAAACTGTGATCTTGTAATTTCAGTGTAATCAGAGCTTTGTTTATTCAGTTCTGTTTAATGTGAATAATGTTGATGAGTCATGTGATGCAGCAGTGAACAATGATCCAGATACAGGTAATTATCAGTTTTTGATCAGTCAGCTATTGATGTGATCACTTATTGATGAGATCCATGATGCTGAGTAGATTAAACAGTCTTAATGATTGAATGTAAACATATTGACAGTCTATAAAGACCCCCCCCCCCCTCCTGTGTATGGATTGTTGCTATGGTCAAATCAGTGTCATCACTAACTCTTGGTGATTTTCTGTTACGTAGGGCAGCATCTGCGGCTTCACCGTCGTCACTGGCGGCGCCGCTCGTCTTGTCTTTGGATACGACAGCTACGGCAACACCTGCGGTCGCCGCAACGAGCAGATTGAAGGCATACAGCTTAGCGGCCTCGACCACACCGACAGGAAGTAAGTATGTCTTTATACAAGGTCGCTGACATTATGACTCTGTCCTGGTCTAATTAATGATCAATAAATATTGATTACAGTTTTAATAAAAATCTATAGATGTTGATGAATTCATAATTTATGAATAGTGATGAGGGCTTTGGTTTTGATGATAATAATCTATTTATGGATGTTGATGTTTGTCATCATTTGAAACTGACAATGTTTTTTCAATTTTGGTGAATTTCTCTTTCTGAGTCTGACAGTGACGACTTCAGGCTCTCATTGTGAAACAGGTCGTTAAGGGACCTGACGGAACTTCCTGTAACCTTTAGTGACCCCTTTGTTCTCTGCTGCAGGTTTGTCTTCTTCCTGGATCCCTGCAACGTGGACATTGTTCAGAGGAAAATCAAGTCCATGGCCGTGTGTGTGTCTCTGTGTCCGAGCGATGAGCTGAAGACGTACCAGGACCTGAAGAGGTTCGCTATGCTCAACGGTGAGGTCATCACTGTCACATGACTCAAAATGCACCACAATACGTGCCTAAACCCCCCCCCCCAACACACACACACACACACACACACACAGTAACACACTTGTCTCTCTATAGTTGTGAGGACACTCATTGGCATAGTGCATTTGCCAGATCCTTACCCTAACCTTAACTATCATGACTAAACTAACCTAAACCCTGAAACCTAGTTTCAAACACTCAAACAAGCAAAAATGTCCTCAGAGCTATATGAACCCAAATTGGCCCTCGTATCTATAGATATACACGCACACGCACACACACACACACACACACACACACACACACACACAGTGACACACACATACAGTGACAATGGCCACCCTGTGTTTCAGTGGCGTGTCGGTGCCACTCTGCTCCGTTTTTCGTCCGTTAGCTTTGACTCAGTTCACTGTTGAAACGTGACGGACATCTTGGTCATGTGACGTCTCTCTGGCAGCCATGTTGTTTATGAAAGGAGCCACTGTTACAGTCAGCTGAGAGCTTTATTTTAGCTTGTTTCAAAGTAAAAGCAGTTGTACTGACTGTGATCGACCCCAGTTTGCAGTGAACTCGGTGACGTACAGAAAACTGTAACTGGATCACTGTGACACTAAAGGAAAATCAAAAACATCAAGATTCTACATGAAGTTCTAATTTATCTGGTTTCTGTTGATGACATCATCAAGAAGTGATGTCAAACTCATTCAGTCAGAACTCTGAGGAAGACGATGTTGATCCCTACATTTATAAAGACCTTCAGTCACGTCTCTGATCAAGCCTTGTGATTGGTTCTCGAGCTAAACCAGTCTGCAGGTGCTCAGTAGAAATGACGTCATGGGTTGTGTGGGTGGAGCCTAATGTGTCCCTGTGTTTGTTCCAGGTTCTGAGTTGTGTTCCTACGAGTTAGCTGCTCATAAATATCCTGGTCTACCTGAGAGGTTCTCTAAATGTCCCAAACTTCCTGTTCCACCCAGGTGCGTCCAGCTTTGACCTCTCTAACCTATCTACTATTCATTAAAAATATTGTCCATAGGGTTTTCAGTGTTTCTTTTAAATACTCTATATAGAAGAACCAGAGGTCTACCAGACGACCTCTGACCTCTCTCCTCTCTCCGCAGTAAGCCTTTGCCAGTGTTTAACCGCTGCACTCCGGTGGATATTTCCTGTTATACGAAGTTTGCAGAGGCCGTGGTGACGTTTGTGGGCGATAACAGTTTTCTGCACCGACTGATCGCTGGCGTTGCTGCTAGTAAAGAGATCATCGTGGGACTGTGCGTGCTAGCACTGGGTGAGGACGTCAGGTCATGTCCGTTTTAAGTGACACATTCATCAGCATTTCCTCCCTCATTATTGGGACAGTAGTCTCTTCCCTGTTTTCAGTAAGATGAATATTCATTGATTGAGAAGTTAATAAAAAATGTTTTAATGGTAGTAATTCTGATTCTACAAATGATCATTGATCATTAGTGGCAGGAAGTGACATCACAATTGTGGACGTGACTTAAAGTATCATGGAGTTCGTTTCAAAAACTATGACTCACTGAGACCTTTTTTCTGACCTATGATCTCTGTCTTTCAGTCCTCTCCATGATCCTCATGGTGATCATCAGGTACATCTCCGCTGTCCTCGTCTGGATCCTCACCTCTCTGGTTGTCCTTGGATCACTCGGTGAGGTCACATACATGGATCTTTCTCTGTTCAGTATTAAATCATGCGCTGAGTCACTGTTTTGTTTGTTGTGTCAGCGGGAACCAGCGTCCTCTGGTGGCTCTACATCGACCACCGGCTGTACGGAAACGACACCTCCACTAAAGTGGTGAAGGAGGCGAAAGAAGAGGTGGATATCACCAGAGACAGCGGACAGGCTCTGCTTGTCTATGCTGTTGCTGCCACCATCTTCACCGTATGTCCCAGAGCCACAATTTTACTGGTTTTCTCATCATCTCATCTTCRGCATTCCATCTGCTCTCTGACTGCTCTGTTTGTTGCTGAATATCACCCTGGGAGTCTTTGTTGACGTCTCTATTACACTCTACACTGTTCCAGATCATCCTGCTGCTGCTGATGCTCTTCATGAGGAAACGAGTGGCGCTGACTATCGCTCTGTTCCACGTGGCAGGAAAAGTCTTCATCCACCTCCCCCTCCTCACCCTGCAGCCCTTCGTCACCTTCCTCACTCTCCTGCTCTTCTGGATCTACTGGATCCTGGTCCTGCTTTTCCTGGGAACCACTGGTATGAACCATCAGGTGTTGTAAACATGGCTAACATCACATCACAAAGATTCTTCTTATTCAATTTGATGATGAGTCTTGACTCATGATTTCTCTGTTGTTGTTTGAGAGGAAACAATAGTAAAAGCGATGAATTTAGAAACCTGCAGACCCCGCTGCAATGATGCCGGAGAAACATTCTGCCCTCTGCTGGTGAGCAGACTGAACTGTTTGTCTCCTCTGGGTCCTGGTCTACTGCAGGAAACCCGGTCCAGAATGAGGAGACAGGTTTGACAGAGTTCAGACTGACAGGTCATCTTCAGTACCTCACCTGGTACCACGCCGTGGGTCTGGTCTGGATCAGTGAGTTCATCCTGGCCTGTCAGCAGATGACTGTGGCTGGAGCTGTGGTCACGTACTACTTCACCAGGTGAGTCCACCTGTACTACATGTGTACTACCCCTGAACACACCTGTATACTACACTTGTACACACCTGTACTGCAGCTGTAAGACACGTTACACACCACGCCTGTAACACACCTGTACACACCTGTAACGCACTTGTTACACACCTGTAACACACCTGTAACATGTAGTTAAGGGGGACCACAGGGCTAATGGGAAATTGTCATAGTCACATTAATGACTACTATATGTTTCAGGGACAAGAACCGTCTCCCAGTGACTCCGATCCTGTCGTCAGTCCTGAGGCTGGTCAGGTACCACTTGGGCACCGTCGCTAAAGGATCCTTCATCATCACGCTGGTCAAGATCCCTCGACTCATCCTCATGTACATCCACAACCAGCTGAAAGGAAAGGTATAAATCAACTTTACTTACATCAAACTGCTGAAACACACTTCACCCTGCTGTTACTCTGATCTGATTGTTTCGTGTGATGCTGTAGGAGAACGCCTGCGCTCGCTGTCTGCTGAAGACGTGTATCTGCTGTCTGTGGTGTTTGGAGAAGTGCCTCAACTATCTCAATCAGGTAACGACCAACCAGCTCGTCTGGTTTTAATGTCACGCTCTCACCTCTCTCACCTGGATTCTTATTTCCCAGAATGCATATGCAGCCACAGCCATCAACAGCACCAGTTTCTGCACATCTGCACGCGACGCCTTCGTGATCCTGGTGGAAAACGCTCTGCGTGTCGCCACAATCAACGCAGTAGGAGACTTTGTGCTCTTCCTGGGGAAGGTGAGGAGTTTGTTCGTCCACTGAAAGTATATGTGCAGTTGGTTTCACAGCAGCCGCATCTTGGTAGTTATTAAATATTCTCTGTCAGTCATAGACTCTACCCCTCTTTTAGATAAATGGTTGTCAGTTCATCTTTGAGTTCACTGACACTTCTTGTCATAAATCTGGTCTCAGGTCCTGATTGTGACATCGACAGCATTCGCCGGCGTCCTCCTCCTCAACTACCAGAGGGATTACGCCGAGTGGCTTTTGCCACTCATCATCGTGTGTCTCTTCTCCTTCCTGGTGGCGCACTGCTTCCTGTCCATCTTTGAGATCGTGGTAGACGTCCTATTCCTCTGCTTCGCCATCGACACTAAGTACAACGATGGAACTCCGGGAAAAGAGTTCTTCATGGACAAAGCTCTGATGGTGAGAACCTCCCACATGATGTGATGTAACAGGAAGCTGAGTGATGTAACAGGAAGTGGAAGGATGTAGAGTGATGTAACAGGAAGCAGAGCGATGTATCAGGAAGAGGAGACTAATTCATCATACTATTATGATGAATAATTTATAATGACCAGGTTTATTAAAAACAATCTGCCATCTTTGTTTTCCATGTTCATCTTGTGATCATGAGCTGATGTTGTCATCATCTGAACTGAAGAGAATTGTGGGACTCCCTCTCTGCCCCTCCTCCTTTGCAGGAGTTCGTAGAGAGCAGCCGGAGGTTGGAGCGGGCGGTGGAGCGTGGGCGGAGCCGTGTGAAGGAAGCGGTGTCTGAGGGGGCAGAGATGAAGCCCATGGTGAGTGACAGTGGCGACCGAGGGGGCGCGGCCAGGCGGAAGACCTCATCAGAGGAGGTGGGGGTAGGGCTGGAGGGGGTTGGGGGGGGATGGGAGGACCTTCAGGAGTTCCAGGTGTACTACCTGCTGGTGGGGATGCTGGTGGACTGGGTGCTGACAGAGCAGAGGGGCATCATCCTCTGTCTAAGCGAGGACGTCGTCCTCTTCCTCTGCATTTACCTGCCCACCTCCACCCTCTTCCTGTTCGTCAGCCTGCTGCACACACCAAACCCAGCCCCTCTGCCAACAATGCCAAATCAGCCGCCGTCACCGCCGCCTGCTAAAAGATGTGTGCTAACAGATGCATGCTAACAGATGAATGGATGAACACTGATGCATGCTAACCCTCCATATCATCTTCATCACTGACTGAGTTTTTTATTTTTATATACTTTACTTTTTCATATTTTATTTTGTAATTCCACTTCCTGTGTCTTTGAGCGTATATTCTGACCATCGTGCTTTAAGGAGAGGAAGGACGCAGCAGATGAAAAGCTTTGGGCCGGATCTTGGATCCAGATTCTGGTCTTAAAACACTGAGTCACTGTCATCATCTGGAGGTCCAGCGGAGGGCGCTCTGTCTGCAGCTGATCAGTATCGATCAAGATTCTGCTGCGTCTCAGCTTCTCCTCATGTTTAAAACACATCCAGGCTGAGGTCATGGGGTCACGGGGTCACAAACTCTCTGTGTGACATCATCAGATGTGATGATGTCACACATCTGCCACATTTGAAAAATGTGATGCTGGACTCATGACCTCCTGCTTCAGTCCCGCTGGTTTGGAACACCTTACTACCCATAATGCTCTGCTCTCACCCCTGTTGCCATGACGACCAGCTGTGATGAACTGTGGCCTGGTGTTTTGTGTTTCAGGCTCCGGGGACGAGTTCAGCTTGACCAAAATCAGAGGGACTTAAAACGAGAGACATTCCAGATGTTTATTTTTCCAGGTGTAACATGTTTACTATGGTTTCACTCCAGGGAAAACAATATTTTAATAAGAAACGTAACGATGACGCACTTTATACTGAAGCGCTGCAGATTTTAAACCTGCTGATGCATTTTTTCGTAGTGATGTCGTTTTTTATAAACTCACCCTGAACTCATTGCTCACAGTTTGATTTTGTTCTGGAAACCTGCGAGTTAGTGACACACTCCTGGACTCCATGTTGGATCTGGAGCGTTGTGATGTCATCAGAGGGTTGGAGTCTGTGCACAGGACCAGCAGCCAGAAAGCTCCACATCTTATTGGTGGATGAGATCAGAAGATGGAGTTCAAAGGTCAGAGAGACCCTACGTTTGAGAGATTATTGATTGAAAGATAAATAATCATTAGATGTGACTGGGCCGTCAGTTTGATGTCACAATCTTCACAAGTAGTAAAAGTAATCATAATATCTTATCTCTTAATACCACATTGTACAAGTACTACAAGTAAAGGTATTTTTACTGCAGCACTATAGTCCTTCCCTCTGAACTGCAGTCAAGTAAAAGTACCTGAAAACTAAAACACGTGGATGAATTGTAAATGTGTCTGATTCATCAGAATCATGTGACAGTTCAATCATCAGCTGATACGTTGCCACAGAAACAAAATCTTAAGGATTAATTGAAATGTGATTGGTCGTTGACCTCAGAGTGACATCTGTGGCAGACTCCGCCTCCACCAGAGGTCGTTGACCTCTCGCCCTCAGGTGGGGCAGAGAGTGTGTGGGCGGAGCTTCCTGTGGAGGTGACAGCTGAGTTTAGCAATAATATAAACTGCATCATGTGACATCATCAACAACGATAAGTCTTCCTGCTTCTGTTTCATTGACACGCTCCAGGTCACATGATGTGTCAGTGACTACACAGAGTTCAGCTCTGATTGGCCAACACAGGAGACTGACCACATCGTCCAATCAGAGTCTCCTGATGTTCAATTGAAAGTTCAGAGGAAATCCAGTAAGTGAACTTTTGAGTGTCAGGAGTCAGATCCTGACGACCTCTGATTCAGGCTGAATCCAAGTGTCCACCTTCCAGACTCCGCCCACCATCTGTGGACAAATCTCACGACGTATGAGCTGATTGGCTGATTCTGCTCCAATCTCGGGTGTTAAATCGCAGATGATTGTTCAGTGATTGATTTTCCTAACCTCAGATATAAAACAATTCACATAAATCTCAGACTCACAGCCTGCGAAGCCAATAATATCAGAATAATTGAAATAATCCCAGAATCGTAGAAGTGATTGGAGAATCGGCGCCACCTGCTGTTCATCAGCAGCAGAGCAGAAGACGAGATTTGGCTCACTTCATGTTTTAATGTGACGTTGTGGACGTTTGGTTTCAGTTTGATGAAGGTTTCGTTAACACATTTTCTGCCTATTGGCTGATTGGCTGCGGGAGATATTAATGTGATGGTTTTAATGCTGCGACTGTTCCCATCACCCCCCTCTAGTGGCTGCGTAAGGGTAACACATCTGACACCTGTTTCACAGCTGATCTGAAACATGTTCACATGAATCAAGTTATTGTGGTGAACACGTGTTGATGTCGTTGACACAGAGCTTCAGTTGTGATGAAGCCTGAGGTCACATGACTCCGAGCAGGTTCACTAACTGCACTAAAGATAGATTCATTCAACACTGACGTCAGTTTCAAGTAGTTTAGTATTTAGAACACAAACACACACAAACACACACATTCA